GTAGATAGAACGACCGGTCACTATGATGCACACTGACCACCAGGGGGCAGACACTCAATGCAGGAGCTGCTCCCTGATAGTCAGTGCACTCTCACAGGGGGAGCACCGCTCAGCCAGAAGCCAGGCTCACGGCTGGTAAGTGCATTGGTGGTGGCAGGAGCTTCTCCCACCTCTGCAGCAGCGCTAAGGAGCAGTGAGCCCAGTGGAAGGAGCAGCAAGCAGGTGGGCAATAAGTAGTGAGGGTTCCCAGACTGCGAGAGGGATGTCCACCTGCCGGCTTAGGCCTGCTCCCTGCCAGGCCTAAGCCAGCAGGCGGACATCCCCTGAGGGGTACTGGACTGCAAGAGGGCACAGGTCGGGCTGAGGGACGCCCCCACCCCCCACCCCCACTTCCTGCATGGGGCCTCTAGTTTCATAATAAGGATATATGAAAGAAATGAGTCAATATAATACATTAGGGTTTGCAATTAAGCTCTGAAATGTACTATAAGTTTCAAGTATTTACATAGGCTTACACATACTTTGATGTGTTTCTCAAATCTATGAAAATTGAAATTATTTTCTTTTTCCTTCACATCTATTAAAACAGCAGTTAACTTACCTTAGGAATAGTATAGCCTTTTACATGTCAAAGTACTTTAGGGAAAGGCACATACGAAACTGACCTAAATTTGGAAAAAGCACCTGAGAACTTAAAATCATTCATCTGACATCTTTAGGTTCTCTGGCCTGAGTGGAGACAAAATTCAACTTGGTTCCACAATTACCTTGCATTACATGGTATCTCTCAATCAACTTAAATATTAAAAGCCCACGTGTTAATGGAAACTAGAGGCAAAGGGCTGCAATATTCATTTGAGAGAAAAATCCAACAAGAGAAAAAACAAATTATGGAATCAAGACAATTCCAAAGGAAACCCACATTCAGTAAGGTGAACATAACTGCAAACAAACATGGGGTCTAGACACCTCTGACCGAGACAGGACCCCTGGAGTGGGTCAGGCCCTAAGCATGGATGGGAGGGACACCTGAGCAGACCCAGAATTGAACTCTGGGAGCTCCACACATCCTCTTCCCTCTCCTGTAAGCATGGAGGCACTTCCTCCCCAGGCTTCCATTCTCACACTGAGGAAACTCTCAGCCAGATTCAGTTTAAGTTCTGACCAAATGCACCCCCCGATTCATAAACCCTCTGTCTAGAACAGTGATGGCGAACCTATGACACGCGTGTCAGAGGTGACACGCGAACTCATTTTTTTGGTTGATTTTTCTTTGTTAAATAGCATTTAAATATATAAAATAAATATCAAAAATATAAGTCTTTGTTTTACTATGGTTGCAAAGATCAAAAAATTTCTATATGTGACACGGCACCAGAGTTAAGTTAGGGTTTTCAAAATGCTGACTCGCCGAGCTCAAAAGGTTCGCCATCACTGGTCTAGAAGTTGGAACCCCAACTTCTACATAGACTTTCTCAATATGCATAAATTAGACTTGAGGTCAACTGCACTGTGAATGGAAAGCTCATACGTAAAATCTAAAAATGGCCTGGCCTTAGAGACCACAAGCGCACCTCAGAAAGGGTAGCCCCACTCCCAACTCCATTATACGCACCCATCCCCCGCTTTCCAGGGCTGTAACTTCTCTGTGTAAAGGTTCCTAAATGACACAAACCCAGAGTTTGGATGATCCAGCAAAATCACTTAAATACAGCATTTATATGGAAAGAACAGAAGAAAATCGTAAGGGTCTTTTCCTAGTTCAACTAAAAAAACCCAAATGTCTATTCCTTTCAGAAAAAGATGTCAGTTACTTATATTTCTAGTAAAAGAAACTGGTTTGTAAGTAACTAATCATACTGGAACACATCTGCTCTGCAAGTCTAAACCACGCAATTTGATTGGAAAACCCACAAAAGTAAAAACCAGACCTCACACACTTACTGCACATGCTCAGCAGAAGAAAGAGTGAAAGATACAAAAATAAAATGTAATCACAGAATTTTTTTTCTGAAATTCACCCATTTCTTTTTGCACTTTTGGAAGTATTTTATGGTCTTTTAAGTCATTTTCAAGGTGAGAAATCCAGGGAGGGTTCCTGGATTGCTGACAGGAGAGCTCACCCAGGAAAATTTCCAAACAGCAAACTCCACCCAAGGGAATCCCCAAAGGAAAGATCCAGGGGGAGAGGCCCAGGATTTCACAGAAAGAAGTTCCAGGTGGCTATTCTTGCCTTTTCTCTCTTATAAAATAGCCACACTCAAACAAACAAACAAACAACAGCAATGATTCTGTGGAAAAAGAACAATAAAAATACTGGGTCTGTCTGAAATGCATCACAGAGGACAAATAGTTGATAACGATGCGGGGACTAGAGGAGAGAAAGTTGGCTCCGGAATTCGAGGAGGGAACTGGAAATTTGGGAATTGTTGCCAGTCCCAGAAAGAGACAGGCTAGGACCACAGTCCTGGATCTGAGACCCTGCTTCCCACACATTTGGAAAACTCGGGAGAAAACTTGTCCCCTTGGGGGAGGAGGAAAGACTGGGGACCCCCCGCCCACCACCACCACCACCACAGGTGCTTCCTCGCACAAACCCTGCAGACCGAGTCACGACTGTCCCCTGATGACTCTCCATGGTCCCTGCACCAGGGGGAAAGGGTGCTGCGGGCGCAGAGCCGCCCAGACAGATTCCTGGACCGATGTCACCGCTGGCAGTGACCGAACAGGACGCCCGGGGGACCGGCAGCCGCCCCAGGCCCCTCGTTACGAACCACGGGGGACCGAGGTCCGAGCGGCGCCCCTAAGGGACTGGAATCCGCAGACTCCCCCGGTGAAGAGGGAAAGTCCGGTCCAAAAATCGCCGCTGCCAACAAGCCCCCCCGCCCCGCCGGGGCGTCTCCGCACCCGCGCGCACACTCACCATCTCTAGGTGCCCTGGGTCTCCCCGAGTCCGGCCTACGCCTGCCACCTCCGGTGCAGATCACGTGGACAGAGGCTGCCGCACACCCACCAAACACTTTAGCAGGTGAGCTACCGAGGCCCTCAGCACACCTGAGGATACTAGGAGGTCCACGACTTCCGGGTGCGTTGCCCCACCCACCTGCCCCAGCGACGCCCCTGATTGGACAGTTCTCAAGGCTGCGCCCCCACGTTCCTGAGTGACAGCTGCGGGCAAATACAGGCTTCTGGGAAACACGTTCCCCTGTTGGGCACACAGTGCTTTTAGATAAATTCAACTTTTTCCTGGCCTGGGACTTCCCAAGTTGTGGTCACCCAGCTCTTTGTGAACTCGAGGGCCCCTGTTGCAGGCCGAGCAGAACAGACAAGAGGGTCGGGCCAGGTCTTATTGGAACAAAGTGTCTTAAGTCCTCTAGGGGTCAAGGGCTTGGAGTGAGGCTGTGAGGCCACTCGTGGAACTGTTGTGACCTTTGTTTAGAAACACAGACACTGAAAAGTCAGGCACTATCTTTAAAAGAGTCTGGATTAATTTTATTTCTTTTTCATAATTTTTATTTACTTATTTATGTTTTTTATTTAAATCCTCCCCCCCTTTTTTATTGAAGTTATTGGAGTGACACTGGTTAACAAAATTATACAGGTCTCAGGTGCACATTTTAACCTTTGATTCTTTCAATCATTGAGCTTCCACTGATCCCTTCCCCAACCCCACTCCATTGGTCCTTAAGAGAAAGAATCCCAGAGCATTTGCCTCTGATAAGAAGTTCAAACCCCTTCACCCCATCCCCAGCCTGGGAACAAAGACTCTTCTCAGTCTAACTACAGGGTGTCAGGTGTGTTCATTATATTCTTGAGTGTACATTTTTACACTGGAAGGAAATTTTATTCAGATCAGCTTTTGCATTATAGTTTAATTAAATTTGTCTTAAATTTATATTTGAAATACAAATGACCATAATATCCCTAATTGTAGCAGGGAATAAAAACTTTATACTACTCTGACTAACCATGAAATGGAATTAGAGTAAAATGTACCAAAAAACTGATCAAAGGAGCTCACATACTGTTTCCTTTGCAGACATCAGCAATTCCAGTTCCTGCTTGTACAAGAAATGGCCTTCACCATGACTTTGATTGACACAGAGTGCCCAACTGCAGGAATTTGGCTAGCACTGCCCAGTTCCAGCATGCTGACATTACCAGTCCATATCAGGACCAGCAAGGACACTGCCTGCACATCCACCGCCCCTCCTACAGATCTCTTTGCTCCGCTTTCCCTCTCCCTTCCTATAAAAACCCCTGCCTGCGCTGAGATGATAAAATAGCCTTTGAATAAGAGTCCCCCATCTTCTGGAGATGCAAGCATGCGAATAAACCTCTTTCCTCGTTCACCAGCATCTGTCTCACAAGTTTGGTTTCCATGGTGGCAGGCAGTCGAAACTTGGAGAGCCTGGGTCGTATTTTGACTAATTGGTCCACCTGCAGCTATGAGGCAATGACTAAGAAAGAGATGATTTTTCTATTGTAACACAGCTTGGCCGATGTATGTTTTGGGGTCTGAAGATGAAATGACCCCTAAATAGTTTTTGGAACTACTCTACTGTTTTGCAATTGGAGTTGTTTTGCCAGAGTTCTGGTAAATGGGATAAGATCCCTTATGTGCAAGCTTGCACATTGTTACATCGTAAGAATGCTACTCAGGAAGATCTAGACCAGCGGTTCTCAACCTGTGGGTCACGACCCCTTTGGGGGTCGAACGACCCTTTCACAGGGGTTGCCTAAGACCATCGGAAAACACATATATAATTACATATTGTTTTGTGATTAATCACTATGCTTTAATTATGTTCCATTTGTAACAATGGAATTGGGGGTCACCACAACATGAGGAACTGTATTAAAGGGTCGCGGCATTAGGAAGGTTGGGAACCACTGTTTTAGGAGGTTACAGGGTGAGCTAGTGTGAGAGTTCACACACAAGGGCAGGAGCTTGTGAGAATTCAATCATTTGCTACCACAAGAGGGCACACTAAGGCTTTCTCACCACCATGTACAGATGTGGGGCACCAGGGGAAGAGCAAGAATGAGGTTCTAAAGCTGTCAGCAATCAATCATCAAGAATTGGAGCAGGAGCCTAGCCAGTTTGGCTCAGTGAATAGAGCATCGGCCTGCAGACCAAACGGTCCTGGGTTCAATTCTGGTCAAGGGTACATAACTCAGTTGCAGGCTCCCTCCTGCCCGGGCTCTGGTCGGGGTGTGTGCAGGAAGCAACCGATCGATATGTTTCTGTCACATCAATGTTTCTCTACGTCTTTCCCTCTCCCACGCTCTCTAAAAATCAATAGGAAAATAAATTTTAAAAAAAAGAAAAGGATTGGAGCAGGAGCCTGCCAGTTTCTGGTCTGTTAGTATTTGTTGAGGGGTTTACAGCTATTAACAGGCTAGCAGTTCTGTCTTTCTTTCTCACTTTCCAGCCACTCTGATTTAATGTAGGACATCTCAGAGTTTCCTCCTAATCAAGCTCTGTTCCCTCTTGCCATTTTGGTGGCTGTATTGTTATGCAGATTGTGTCTATTACTGATATAACCCAATATATTGCTACACTTCTTTCTTTTTCTTAACAGTACAAAGGTGGGTTTTTTGTTTGTTTTTGTTTTGTTTTGTTTATTTTGTTTTTTACACTTATCATGCCATGAATTTATAGGGAATGGGTTCCGGCAGCTCAGACTCCTTTCCATTGATTCTCACAAACTGTGCTTCTCTGGGTGGAACAGGTTGTTGCTTCAGTTGAACCCAGGTATCTTTCTCTTTGGCTTCCTCGTTTTCTGATCATTTTCCTTCACACGTTTCAGGAAGCTAACTTGGCTCTTAGAATACCTAACACATTGCGGACCAGTAGTTTTATTGCTAGCTGTACCCAGTGGCCAGATAAGTTTCTATTGAACGAGTACAAAAAAACATTTTACATAAATGTTAAAGGCACGCTTTAAAGTTAAATACCCATTGCATTTTGAAATTATTTATTACATGTTCTTACAAGCTAATATCTTTTTAAAGAATTCTTGTGATTGGCCACAAGCCTTAGAACAGGAAACACGAGAATTCTCGTGATCTGTCCGCAATGTCCATGTGCTCAATGGCACGTTAATTCTCTTGGCAAGAATCTTTCCTTTAACTTGTTTGTTTACAACCATGCCCACCATACGCTGGGTGACACTGTAGACTCATCCAGTTTTGCCCATAGTAATATTTGTGGGGCATTCCTTTTTGAACAGTGCCCATTCCCTTGATGTGCACAATATCACCTTTCTTATAGATTCACGTGTATGTGGCCAAAGAAACAACCCTGTGTTTTGTAAAAGGCCTGGAGAACATATAGCTGGTGCCTCTCCTCTTGCCCTTTGTGTTACTCATTTTGGCAAATTACTAGAAGATGGAGGTTTGGGCTGAAAAAAGGTACACATTTCTTTACCATTTGTAGTCATTCCTCACTCGACTACAGCTTTGCCCACACCCATGTCCTCTGTGCCTTTCACTGTAAACACATCTCTTAGTTTCCAACAAAATGCAAAAATTAATGAAAAGTTTAGACGTTCGAATATTTTATAAACAAATCGAGTGATTTAATTTTTGACTTGAAAGTCTTAGTGACCCTGTGTGTTTACGGCCTGAGCACAGGGAAGCCCATTGGCAGTTTCTCTGCACCAGGGAGACTGCCAGCACCTATGGCTACAGTTCACACATGGTCCTCACCTGCTCACACAGAAATCCACGCATCACTGGGGACAAGTGGACTGGGCGGCTGGTTTCAACACAAACTTGAGCTCCAGAGATGCTTTTTTGTCCGGAGAAAAGGGGCACAAAGATTGCTTTTGAGGCCCTTCCCAGGGAGGAATACAGTTGTTGGGTAGAAAGACCACCCATTCACCTTTCAGTTTTGTATTCACTGCTTTAGGCTATACTGAGGGAAGACCCCGCCTGGTGGACTTGACGGGATTCTCCGGCCAAGAGGAAGCAAGAAGCTTCCTGCTGGTGCATTTGATTTGCGGAACTCACTTGGCTGGATAGAGATTTTATGTGACTCGCTGAAAACGGGTTCATCACTTAGGGCTGAATTGTAAATGAGTTCCACAGTAAATTCAAGACTTTGGAGGTTTTAAGGCCCTATAACAGGGTTTCCCCAGCTCAGCACTCTTGACATTGAGATGGGATAATTCCCTGTGGTGGGGCTGCGCTGGGCATTGAAGGATATTGAACAGCATCCCTGACCACTACACTCCAGATGTCAGGAGACCGCCCTCTCCCTTGCAATTTGTGGGAACTAAAATATCTCCACACTTACCCAGATGGGGGGGAGGGGTGGTGAGGGGAGCACAGGCCTCCAGGGGTGGGGGGTGATGGAGGGCACTGTCTGAGGTGGGGCTGGCCAGGTGCTGAGCTGGAGGAAACAGCAGCTGCAGGCTGCCCTAGGGAACAGCTGAGCCCCAGGGGAGGAAACAGGGCTCAGGGAGGGATGGAGGGACTCTGAGCCCTGACAGGGATGCCTGTGGTCCAAGCCCTTCCCCTGGGTCAGAGGGAACCAGGGCCCCTGGCACTGACCAAGGTCTGTCCCTCATGCGGGCTTTGGCGGACAGAGCTGAGAAGACAGGCATCGCTGCCCAGGTGGGACCTCCGCTTCTCACCACCCTCTGCTCCTCCAGCAATGACTGCTGCTTCCTGGGGTCCCGGTCTCCCTGGCTGTGCTGAGAGCTGGACATGGAGGGACTGGAGCTGACATAGTGGGCGGTGCAATTGTTCCTGACATCTCAGGCCCAGGTGTTTTAGTTTGTGCACAGTAAGTCCTAGATTTATTTGACCTCGATTTAATGAACTTCGGATTTAAGGGACAAAATTTCTGGTCCGTATGTCATATATGAAAATTAAAACCCTGTTAATTTTAAAATGCTTTCAACCAAGATTTGCTTACAATTAAATCAACAGGTTATGTTTTGTTATTAATTCACTGTTATTTTAAACAAATTTTAGCGAATAGGCCATATGCTGGGAAAAACCACTGTAGTAATTTTGCGGGCATGATTAAGTATTACATACCTACAAC